CGACGCGCGAGCTGTTGGCGCGCCTCGATCCCGAGATCAGCCGAGATCAGCCGAGATCAGCCGAGATTCCCCAGTGGGTGTTGGCGCGCCTCTCCGCCGCAGCCTGTCGGAGCAGTGGCGCAAAGGAGCGGCCGAGGTGCCTTGGAGCAGCGTGGGAGTGATTAGTGCGGTACACTCGGCGGCGGGGGCTGGCATAGCAATTTTCGGACCCAACAGCGTGTCATTCGGTGTGAGGCTCGTGCACTGCTGTCCGGACGCATCGGGCATCTGTCAACGGCGTGCCTGCCGAGCGCCACGTGCTGCGCAAAGCCGCGCGGCGTGAGCTGGCCGGGAGCGCAGTCGCCGTGCCGGCCGGGAAGCGTCTTTGGCAGCAGAGGGCGGTAGAAAGGGCTGCCGTCCAGGCCGACCACCGCCACCTGCGCCGCTGCCTGCTTCTGCTCGCTACCGACCGGCCGGCACATCCAGCGAGCAGTCGTGTTCGTGTTGGGAAGCGAGTGGATCGACGAGCGGTCGCCGTGCCGAATCGTGACGAGCACGCCGACGAGCTTCAGGCCGTCTGCTGTGACCTTGCCCTCCGAACCCTGAGGCGGAGCTCCGCAGTACGCCTCGAGGGCTGCCGAGCCGCCGGGACTGGTCGCGAGGACGAAACGCCGCTGCTCCCGCAGGAGCAGCAGAGCGGTGCACGCGAAGGCCAGCAGCAGCGCGAGCGTGCGTTGCATGAGACGATGTAAGGCCTTGTCTTTCCCGGTCCACGTCCCGGAGCACCAACTCGGGTCGGCGATCCAGGTTCTTGGGGCAGTTGGCGACGCCGCCGCAAACAACTCGAAACAACGGCCGACGAACAGACACGACGCACGCACTTGGGACCGAGTGTCGCGCACAGGTGTTTCTTCTTTCGATGAAAAAGTTCTTTTAATGAGAGCCAGCGTTTCAATCTCTCAGAGAAAAGAAAATCCCGCCATATACCTACAACTAGCCGCTGCACTCGAACACGGCTCCGGTCGAGGACGACAGCAACGTGCAGGATGAAGTTGCTCTCGATCAACGCTCTCACGCTATGCACTCGTGAGCGCCCATCTGCTAGCACACGTGCCGGCACCCCGGCACAAGGTGTGTCGAACGCTCTGCTAGCACCATATGTCGGTGTCTGCTAGGAGTATCAACACTGCTCTCGTGCCGCGGGGACGCGTCAAGCCCGCCCTGCCTCAGGCGACATGCGGAGGAGCTGCGGCTTCTACTCCAAACTCGGGCTGACGGCGACGTTTGGCGGGCCAGACGCCGAATTCACAACCTTCTCGGCCGAAGCACCCGTCACGGCGGCGACGAATCGGCTGCACGTCAACCTTGTCCACGCGCCTGCCTACCTCCCGCCTCCGCCGCAGCGGGGCGTGCCTGGAGGATGGGGCAGGGCCGTCATCTTTGTGGACGACGTGGATAGTCTGCAGGCACGGCTCGTGGCGGCCGGCTTGGACGCGCCCTGTCCACGCGACGCTCCGTGGGGAGAGCGCTGCTTCCACGTGAAGGACCCGGATGGGCACGAGCTCTCGTTTGCG